TAAGAGTAGCCATTGCTCTTAACTGGAAAGCCATCTCTCCCGCCTCTAATTCAGATTTCTTGGGTGGGGGGACAGAAAGCTTAATTTTATTTTAGTTTTTTTTTTTGGTCTTTTTTGAGACGGGGTCTCCCTGTAGCCCCAGCTGTTCTGGAACTCACTATGTAGACCAGGCTGGCCTTGAACTCACAGAGATCTGCCTGTCTCTGCCTCCCGAGTGTTGGGATTAAAGGCGTGGGCCACCATGCTTGGTATTGTTCTGGTTTTTGAGATAAGAGTCTCCCTTGTAGCCCCAGCTGGCCTGGAACTCTCTCTAGGTAGACCAGGCTGGCCTCCAGCTCACAGTGATCTGCCTGCCTCTGCCTTCCAAGTGCTGGGATGAAAGGCATGGGCCACCATGCTTGGTATTGTAGTCATCCTTTTAAAAATTTTTCTTCATTTAAAATTCATTTTGTTATTGTGTACATATTTGTTAAACCAGCTTTTCATTGTTGGAATGGTATTTTTCAGTTCTTTTACCTAGTCACTGTTTGTTTTCTTAGAGATGGGGTCTTACTGTGTAGCCCTGACTGCCCTACGGATTTCCTGTGTAGATGGGGTTGGCCTTGAACTCACAGAAGATCTGTTTGCTTCTGCCTCTCTAGTGCTGGGATTAAAGGTGTGTGCCATCATTCTTGGCCTCTAGTCACAGTTTCTTAATTTCATATGCATATGGAGGGGGGCATACATATGTTTGTGGGTGCGTGTGCCACAGCCCACATGTGGAGATCAGAGGGCAGCTTTCAGGAGTTTATTCTCTCCTTCTACCATATGGGTACTGAGAATCAAACTCAGGACTTGTCAGGCTTGGGGGCAAACACCTTTACCAACTGAGCTATCTGGCCAACCCTAAATTTTATGATTCTTGTATTTTTTTAGAAAATGTTCTGATGAAAAAGTGAATACATTGATTTGTTTATGAAATTACCAATAAGATTATATTTAGCAGTAATAATAAATTGTTTCCAAACATTTTTTGCATTTTTTTTATTAAAGAGGCTCTTATATAGATTTATTGTTTTCAGTTTACCATATTTTTTTTCTTTTATCTGAGTACACTGTATATTCACATAAATACACACACATACATACATGCATAGTATTTTGCTGAACCATTTAGAAGAAGCTTTCAGATACTATAATTCTTTATCCTCAAATAAAGTATCTGAAGAACAAGGACATTACTATTATTGTACTCAACAAATTTAGCATCCATACAGTACTACTATTTTTCATATCAAAACTTCCTAACAACACCCTTTATGATTTTCATTTGTTTTAATTCAGTCATGCAATTGCATTTACTTATTGTGCCTCTTTAGTCTTTTAAAATCTAGAATAACATTTGTCTATCTTCTGCTTTTAATTTTTA